GGGAGGGTCTCTTATTAGCCTCTTGCTTCACCCACTATCCATCTTTTATCTGACTGTCCCTAGGCAGTGTCTCTGGGTCCAATCGTCCAAGTTCTTTCTCCCATATCATTACAATCTATAGCTTCCTGTGAGTCATTAGGATTTATATAGATTCTATTAAATACGAGCTTTCTTAAAGTTTATCATAATTTATTGAATTAACATTGTCCAATGTATAGATGCAATTTCAACAGATATCTTAATATTTAAAAATCCTATTAAGTCTCAAGGGTAAGATTAATGTTATTAAAATGAATATTACATTAAGATTAATGTATATCTTTAGAGGGCTTCCAAATTAATTCTTATTAGATATTTCACACAGATAGATAAGTTAATGAGATTTTTTAATGGCACCCTAAAGCTTTAGAATATTTTTGGCAACATTGTGGTTATCTTATGAGAATAGTGGATTTAGTTTGCCAGATGTTCAGTTATATCACTAGATTTTCATTTTAGTGTCTACATTTTTCCTGAATGAGACTTATTATGGTTACTTTCCCCTTTGGACCATTTGGAGAACAAATATGTTACATTTTTGAAATTTTGGTAAGTTTTACTTATTCTTAACTTGGTTCTTCATTTCCTGCAATCATCTTCTGCAATCCTAAATTGCATTAACAGAGGGATACAATCAATATCAAGGGAGGTACTAATACCACTCTATAAAGTCTTAGTAAGACCACACCTAGAGTACTGCATCCAGTTTTGTTCACCACATTATTAAAAAAATGTTGAGACTCTAGAAAAAGTAGAGAAGAGCAACCAGGATGATTAGGGGACTGGAGGCTAAAACATACAATAAACGGTTGCAGGAACTGGGCTTGGCTAGTCTAGTGAAGAGAAGGACTGGGGAGACATGATAGCAGTCTTCCGATATCTGAGGGGCTGCCACAGAGAGGAAGGGGTCAATCTATTTTCTTAAGTTCCTGTAGGCCAGACAAGGAATAATGGATGGAAACTGAACAAGGAGAGATTTAACCTGGAAATAAGGAGAAACTTTCTGACAGTGAGAACAATCAACCAATGGAACAGCTTGCCCTTGGAAGTTGTGGGAGTGCCATCACTTGAGACTTTCAAGAAGAGATTGGACTGCAATTTGTCAGAAATGGTGTAGGGTCTCCCGCTTGGGTGGGAGGTTGCACTAGATGACCTACAAGGTCCCTTCCAACTCTGATTAACTGTTATCTGTTATCCTATCAAATTTGGTATCACTATTTGCTTATGTGCTCTAAAGATCAGAAGATTGCATATACATTTTGCTATGGTTTTAATAATAAGCCAAATGAATGAATGAATTCCACACAGGTATTTATACAGTATTTATTATATGTATATTTCTGTTGAACTTGCTTTGGAATGTTTGTTTTCCCCACTCTGTTGGAATAATTATCCTTCTGGGTTCAGTTCCAAGTGGGGAAGAAAGACACTGGAAACATGGTGACTGCTTGGAAATATGGTTTAATGGTGGATGGGATCACATGCCTTGGGTGAAGAAAGAAGGAAAAAGGCTGAGATGCTGAGAGTCTCTTAATTATATACCCTCGGTTTGGGCCCCACCTTAGTGTTTCCTGTTCCTGTGCAAGAAATGTATCCCATTGGCTGACAGATTCCCACGGGCGGGCGTCTGAGCTAACTTTGTAGGCTTTGTCTGGACTGCCACATGGCTTCACCTGAGTGCTGGCTGATGCAATCTTCCCAGCCAGGTGGTGAGATGGGCAGAGGCCTTTATTATGTAGAATACTCTGACCTAGGCCTTAATGGCCCACCCATTAACAAAGGTGAGGGTGAGCTTCTGCTTCTGAGTTTCTACTCTTTTTAGGGGAAATATTCTGCCTTTTTAATATTTCCTAGGATATTTCTTTTTTTGTAGGAGAAGGGTGGGTGCTAACTTCCTACATCTCTATAATCACTAATTAATGTGGACTCTTCCTTGGTATTTCACTGCTTTAACAAGAACTACAAAAAGTTATCAATTTTGAAAGAAAAGGGAGAGAAATTTCTTCTGGGCATTTGATGTAATTCCATACATCCTCCAATCTGTTTCCATTTCCAGTGCTCTTTTATATCTCAGAAGGCTATGAGCAAATTATCCCAGCAATCCAAACTAAAACCCCAAAGAATTGTGAAGGGTGAGTTATTTCCAAAGAAGTTCTGGTTGAACAGTTTAGTCCAATGTTTTTGGTGTCTTGAGTTTTAAAGTTTTTTTTTTTTAAATAGGCTAAATCTATCCACCACAGGTTTGCACCAATCTCAACACGAAGGCAGAGGGTGAGGGACTATAATGAACCTCACAGAAAATCTGATGTCTCCCAAGGGTGATATTCATGACACGAAGGGTTGTGGACTAGGAAGTTTGTCACCTCTCAATTGGAGCTTTGCCTTTCCTGGCTCTTTTGAGAGATAGACAGATATCTGACTACATCAGAGAGCTCAGCAATACCTCTTTGGAAGAGCACATGGTATTGGAAGAAACAGTGATATATTTCTTCTTAAAGAGATTTTCCTTGGGTCTGACCCAGTAACCCCCCAAAGTGTATGCTATAGAAAGAGTGGTGGGTCTTCAGTTGCAAGTGCCATAGAAGAAGTGAATTACAACATCATTTTTATTCAAGTTTTAAGTGTGGGAATGGGATAAAAATAAGATGATTTCACCCTGATGCAGCAAGAATTGGATATAAGCACTGTGCAGCTTTTTGCCCTGTTAATTTTCTCAGTAACATCAATATAACAGTTTTACCCTGGACCCTTAGGCTACAGTAAAGGGAGAATTTGGAAGGCTGGAGGTCCTTTTTTACATTAGATCTACTTCTATCTATGCAGTTTCAGATATATGAGGGAATCTATCTGTAGATCATGCCAAAAAGAGGGAGACAAGCTATTCTCCAAAGCACCTGAGGGCAGAAGAAAAAGCAATGGATGGAAACTAATCAATCTAGAACTAAGAAGAAATTTCCTGATAGTTAGAACAATTAATTAGTGGAACTACTTGCCTCCAGAAGTTGTAAATGCTCAAACAGTTTTTAAGAAGAGATTGGACAACCATTTGTCTGAAATGGTATAGGGTTTCTTGTCTGAGCAGGGGATTGGTCTAGAAGACTTCTAAGATCCCTTCCAACTATTCTATTCTATTCCATTCCATTCCATTCTATTCTAATGCTTGGAACCATAGGGTTCTTTTCTTTCTCCCCAACTGTTTAACATTAACATGAAGCTGTTGACTGCAGGTGTATGTCCAGAAACCATCTAGAACATAAGCATTCCAATGATAGTTCTGGATGGAGTAGTGCGCCATATGAAGAAGCAGTATCACTTGGGATACCCCTAGACTCATAACAATTGCTTGTAATGCAGACCATGGTTAATGGACAATTTATGTAATTTCAGCTGGTATGGCAGTTGTGACCCTATTTGGAGGAGGCAGAAGGTGAGTGGCCGCACAAATCAAATGAATGAATAAATAATATGCATATGATGTGCAAATCCGCTATGCTGTTAGAGATAAAACTGGATTCTTTCAGCTCATTTAAAAGCCCATATGTTCTACATTCCCTCTAGGTGCAGTGCTGAATGTAAAAGACCATTGTTCTGATTTAATATAAGCCAACTTCCTAAATTCTATAAAAGTGCACAGACATATTTGACTTATACATGCTGAGTTCTGGATAAATTCAAATAGTTTTTCCAGTACTTTATCTTCATTATGGCTTCTACCCACACTACTTGTGGCTCCTGGGTTCTTTTCTTATTCATTAAAAAACAACATCTAAAGTGTTTTCCCTCATAAATGTTTTAATCATTTAAAGAAATCCCTTAAGAGACCAAACCAATATTTCATCCAATATAATTCACTGTTTCTCATTCTGTCTGTCTCCCACGCATGCCATCTAATACATTAATATATAATTCATTATTGCACACTTGGAAAATAATAAAGCAGACACCTCAACCCCTTTCTTCAAAGGTAAAAAATAATAATTAAAAGCTACTTTTGGTGTTTCTTACCCTGGTCTTAATTTTTGTATACTTCGTCAAAAATAAAGCTAATGTCAAAAGATGGAGAATGAATGTTTAATACAGTTTGGAGAGTCCAATCTGATCAATTAAAATGCAACAATTTTCCCTGCAGAGAAGAGTAGAATATGCTACTGGCCAATTAAAAATTGATCACTCCTAGTTTGCAATTGCCGGTCACTTAAGGTCTCAGCTCTTCCATAGAGGATGCAATATAATAGTTATTTATTATCTGAGAATGTATATCGTTTCAAGCAGAATATAATTAACACTGACTTGTTGAACTTTGATGAAAAATTGGCCTTATCATTTGCACGAGGTGTATAAAAAGGTTGGGGACCACTGATTTACACAAAGTTCCACTCATTGTTCAAAGCCAACATGAACCTTTTAAATTCTATATTTGAAGGAAAACTTTTGTCTACAGTTTTAATATTCTACCTATAGAATATAGAGCACTACTTGGTACTTCTTTACAGTCATTCCAGTGAAAATAAACTGACAAAGAGTAACCAGATTCTAATAAACCCGTAAATTTCATAGCCATGGGAATTATTCAAAATCCCACAACTATTTACTACATAATACTGGTTCAGTGAAAGAATCTGTTTAGAACATGGGTGTCAAACCTGCCATGTCACATTGCTATCTCATGACATATTGCAACATTTTCCCCTTCATGCAGCTGGGGTTGACGTGGCCTGTGCATGATGCATCTGGTCCATGGGCTGCCAGTTTGACACCCCTGGTTTAGAAGAACCAGACATTGCTTCAAAGATGTTTACACTTCATCCTCTATTTAGTGAAACTGATAGTACCACACCCCATTGCTGGTTTCAGGAACAGAGGGTGAAGAGTATAAGGGGGAAGACAGTCAATAATTAGAGATGATTTTGAAAATGCCAAAGAGTCCATGGGCAATGGGGCCAAGACAGCAGGTCTAATAGTTAGGTGCGCATGGAATGCTCTTGGATCAGTGTGTAATAGTACCCTGAAGGAGGGGTAATACCAGAAAGGCTGTTGCTGGGCATCATGGAAAGGTCCTATTATAAGATAAAAATAATGAATGAAAGAGGAGTTAGAAAGGCAAAATTATATAAAATACGTTCAATATGTACAATAATAATAAATAGAATTTTATTGCAGTTTTAAAAACAAGATAAAAACAATACAAACTGATATAAAGTAAGAAAAATAAATAAATAAAGTGAATTTTTTAGTGGGAAGATTAGGTATCAAAGCTGCTGATATAAAATCATTATCTGCTGGCAGATTCCAATGTTTAGATTGCATTAATCATAGTTTGTGTTGATGGACACCTATTCCCAACTGTGGCAAACCCCAGAAAAGGGAAAGATTAATTACTTCCATGCCACCCCCCAAAAAAAATTTAGGAAGGAAACGAGGGAAATTGAATGTGTCCTTAAAATTTAACTACTGCTATATTGGCACAAGAAAATAGCAGTTGGGATATTCAAGGTATCTGATTTAAAGGATAGGCAAATGTTTTAGAGCACTGGACAATTTAGGAATTTTAAATATATATGGTACTTATTACCCTTTAAAAATGACTGCATTAATTCTTCCTCAAATGGCTGTCATAATCAGGATGGCTTGTTACAAAATCACCACACAGTAACATATGAATTGTAATCTTCTGTCTGGGCAACTGAACTTATATTCAAACAGCACTGGATTACAGCAATCCTCGAGTTTATTGTCTAGGCATACTTGTTAGGTTATGTAGGACACAAGAGCATTCTTAAAAATAGGATTGGTGCCAGAAAATAGCAATTTACTTTGCAGGAGGTCAACTTCCTATTAATTTATTTATCATTAAACTTTGAAATTAAAGTTAAAGGTGAGTACACATACAATCTAGTAGGCACCCATAGAATCTACTAGTAGGCATAAAGCTGCCAGCACATTCACATCTGGTTGGGTTGAAGTCAGACCTGAATTAAATCCTGGTTCTCATGAGAAATTGACTCTGGGAAAATATTATTTAAAAATGGCAGATGAACTTTGGGGTTGGGTTGGATGGGGGGGGGTTTAAAACTAGTTGAAAAGGGGATAATGCTTTAGAACATCTTAGTGCTCATTACATTTTTTGAGAGGTTACAAAATCATATAGGTAAAGGTAAAGGTTCTCCTCACACGTATGTGCTAGTTATTTCCAGATCTAGAGGTTGATGCTCATTTCTGATACAAAGCCGAAGAGCCAGCACTGTCCGAAGAAGTCTCTGTGGTCATGTGGCTGGCATGACTAAACGCCAAAGGCGCATGGAACACTGTGCTCCCTATTTTTCTACTTGCATTTTTTACATACTTTTGAACTGCTAGGTTGGCAGAAGCTGGGACAAGTAATGGGAGCTCACTCCGTTATGCGGCGCTAGGGATTCGAACTACCAAACTGCCAGCCTTTCTGATCGACAAGCTCAGTGTCTTAGCCACTGAGCCATCACGTCTCTACAAAATAATATACCGTGGCTCAAATCTGAGAAAAGTCAGTCAGAATATTTGTATATTTCTCAATTTGGATCTAATTCATAAGAAGTATTATTCAGTCTTCCTAGATATGAAAGTGGATGTTCAAAAGGGGTGGCTATCTAATTTCTATACATTATTATTCATATATTGGAGTAATAATAAATGTGAAGGCATAAATGTGAACATTTATCATTTTAGCATTTCCACTTGTGACTAAATATTGGTTTAATGTTCTTAATACAATTAAAGGTTTAATAAGAGAATAAATATCAAATTGAAAGGCACTAGTGGATTGTCACAAAGAGATTATGGGGTTTTTTTCCTTTAAAAGAGAGCATAGTAGTATTCCTGTGGCTGATTTGAAAAAACATATTTGCCCTCATCTTTTGAACTGGCTGTCTATCAAACAATGAAATGACTAAAATGTTTAAGGTTTTACTTTGTTGATTAAAATGGAATATTTCTTAAAATATATAATTGTTAGTTGACCTGCGGACTTGATGGACACACTTTAGGTTGAAAGTGACAAAGAAAACACCACTCTGCTGTATTTGAGCCTTTGCTTTTTAGTCTTTATTTAATTCTTTAATTGTTCTTATATTTATAATTCTTTTTATATTTGTACTTTTATTACACAGTAAGCCACTCAGAGACATTATGAATATCAAAACAGCCAATGTGTAAAACCAATAAATAAAAAATAAATTGCCTTTGTATTGTAATTTCTTTTTCTATTTTTAAAAATTTGATTAGTACTTTCTGTCTAATTTTATGATTTTACATTTTTGCATTTTGTACTGTATATCTCTATTTGGTATTTTTGATAGTACATTTAGAGAATGTTTCATTTCATGGAACTGTTTCTTTTTAAATTACAAATGCATAGAGAACCTGTCGGGCTCCGAGTTCACTTGGAGCCCATCAGCTCCAAATATGCCTTGCAGCAAGTCAGCAGGCCATGTCACCTTATCTCTGCTGCTGCTGGATCTGTACTTCTGCTTGTGTGCTGGCCAATGGCTTTTGAATGACTCAGCAAAGCTGAGTATGGATTCTGCAACAACTGTGGGAATGGACAATGGAATCTGAAGGAACTGCAGGGCTGCAGGATGTATTCTGAAACAACTGTGGGGCTGCTGGAAATGGCTCTTTTCATGTATTGATGTGGTGCATATTGTTAAAGGGGGTTGGGGCACATATAGATGGTAATTAAGCCTTAGGTTACAACATGGTGAAGGTGGCACCAGGTGGGGATCAGTCAGAGGTGGTATTTAGCAGGTTCTGACCAGTTCTGGAGAACTGGTAGCGGAAATTTTGAGTAGTTCGGAGAACCAGCAAATACCATCTGTGACTGGAGATTTTACAGTATCCTTCCCCTGCCACGCCCACCAAGCCACGCCCACAGAACCAGTAGTAAAAAAATTTCAATCCCACCACTGGGATCAGTTAGTGAGGGTTGGAATAGGGTAGGGATGTAGACACGTTATAGGTTAATAGCATTTAGGGATAATGAGTTAGGCATAGCCAGAATTAGAACTGCATATAGGCCTGAGCGTGGTGAAGTGTGTTTCATGATAATGGTAATAAAAGGAAAGGGAGCAAATTCAAACCCAACTCTAACCTTGCCTGGCTTTTAGCCTTTCTTGTCAGAGAAGAGTATTTGTTGTTTGCTGAGCTAATGAATAAACCACCATGGTATGACAAAGAAGCTGGAGTATGTATTCATTTCATGACAAATCTTGAATACTCAAGGACTGGCTGAGAGAAACTCACACTTACCTTTGGTTTTGGAACTGAAACAAAGCCAGCTTCAGTCTGATGCTTCAGGCCTGCAAAAGTGCTAAATCGTTCATGTTTCCTCCACTTTGCTCGTTGATTCTGGAACCAAATCTATGTACAAGAAAGAATCAAAATTTTAAAATTTGATTAATGACTACTAGTACTATTGCTGCTTCTATTTGTTAGGAGAAATGTTTACAGAAAGCAATACCTTCTGATTTGCCCTAAGATACCAGAAATATAAAAATAGGTATTTGACATTAACTGACAATTGGCTTATATTTTCAGTATTTTTATATTATATAATTTTTATATTTGTATATTAAACATACTGATACATCCAAACAAAACTTGGTGTTTTTGAATCCTGATTTCAAATTTTAATTGGAATTTGGAATTCTAACTTTATTCAGAATTCTGAGATTGAAATTAAAATATTTGGAGGAATAGGATTTGCCTGCCTCACTTCTGCCTTGCAGAGCATTGTGTACTCCCCTGGTGAGAACACACTCATTCACCTGATCTTCCATAAGGGCCTGAAGACCTGGCCCTACTGGTTGGCCTGGAGCCTCAGCAGGAATGTACCAGTCTGGAGGTGGCTATCGGATTAAGATAAGACTTTACCTCTCTCTGTGTACCTTATGCTTCCTTCCCTTATTTATATATATATATATATATATGTCATTCGGCTTTGCTTGGGTATTTTCCCATGTCATAGTAGTTGTGCTTTTAAAGTTGTAGCAACGTTTCGGCAGAATCCCATCTGCCATCATCAGGCTTACCCGCGAAAACTTAAGAATCGATCGTTCGATAGATAGTAAATATTATATATATATAATTATTATATTTACTTTATTCATTAAACATGAAACTCAGTCAACTGAACATTCAAAAATGCATCATAAATACCATTGACTGGTGCTAAGGGTTGATAGGGGTTGCTGCCAGCATCCTACATATCAACCAAGATACAAGATTGTTCTACCATATACAAGCTGTTTTCCATCAGATCATTGAATATTAAATTTGCCAGTATTCTTGTAAAAAGTTTGAACATTGTTGGCAGACAAGTAGGCAGTGGACGATAGTTGCTTGGTTCTTTGCCTTTTTCTGGATCTTTCATTATCAAGTATGTTTGGCCAGCTGTTAACCATTTTTTGTTTGTTTCATTTTGAAGTATTTCAGCAAATTGAATGGCCATGAGATGATGGAGGCTGATCTGGTGTTTTAGCCAGTATCCATGCAGTTGTCCAGGCCAGGTGTGGTCCAGTTCTTGATTTTCTTTGCTTGTTTTGCAACCATGTCAGTTGTTATTACAATATCTTCCATTTTTGTTTCGTGTTGTTTGTTGTTGAATATATTTGATCCAGGAGGCAGTTTTGTTGTATTCCACTGGGTTTTCCAACAGTTCTTTCTAAAAGTTCAAAGTTTTTTCTTTACATGGGTGAACATTAGTTTGGACTCTATTTTTATCAAGGGACTGGTAGAAGAGGTGTTGGTTTCTTCTGAACTGAACATTTTCACGATATTGTTTTATTTGTCCTTTGTACCTTTCAATTTTCTTTGCTGTTGCTATTACATGTTGTTTTAGTTCTTCCATGATGTCCATTATTGGTTTTTTTCTCCAGGTTGTATTTTTTTGTATAAACTATTTTTCAGCTTTTTGTTCTTTAGTTTTCCTTCTTTCAAGTACTTTAAATTGCTGACATCCCCTCTTAGGTTTTTTATTTTATTTTCAAATCGAATTTTCCACTTTGGTATTCCAGTGGATTTCTTTTTTGGCATTTTATAACCCAGTTCTGCAGTTATAATGGCAGCTGTGCTATACATTAGTTGGTTGGTTTCATATAGTGTGCTAGATGGGATGGAAGCTAAAATGTTGTTCACATCAATTAACAGATCTTTCACTCATTTGCTATGCACTTCATGAATGGTAGGTAGTCTTTTTCTTTCTATGCTTTCTTTGATGTGTTTTCAATCTTTTCTTTCAGCATTTTTGCTAGATCACCTAGTTCTACACTTTCAAGTTGTTGCACAGGAAGATCTTCATCCTGTATGTTGGTTTCTTACACTGGTGGTCAGTTTGCTAAGGGATTGAAGCAGTTTCTTCAGCTTGTTCATAATTACGTGTTTTCTTTTTAGCCAATATTTCTAGATATTGCATTTCCACATCTATGAAAACTTTATTATGGATGATGAAACATCTTTAATCCATTAATATTTGTTCAGTTTTGTCACTTTCTGGGTGTTTTTCCTTCCACAGTTGCATCATTCTTTTTGAAATTCCCTGGCTGTTGGTTCTGCCTGGTAGTAATATTTGATGATTTCTCAATTTTCTTTGGTTGTCCAAGTTTTGTGCTTTTGTTCCAATTGCTTTGCAGTTGTACACCCTGGTTCCCTAGCAATAAAAACTGACCCTGTAGCCCCTTTTTTGACAGATGTCCAGGAGCCATAGCATCTGACATGGCCTTGTTGACCCAGGCAATGACTGATCCAGTGTGGAATTTTGTTTATTTCTTGTCATCATTAGTAATGGTAGGTGCCTGGGTTGGTTCACAGTGGCTAAGCCACTACCGATCTAAAGATTGTAATCCCATAACCATAGGACCTGCACCAGATAGCTGAGTATCATTGTTACATGTTTCATCCATAACTGTTTAGTTTTGATGGCCAGGTCACAATATTTTGTGATTTTTTTCCAGTACTTTTTCTTCGATTCTGGCATCTCCTGGTGCAGCGCTGTCAATAAATTGTATGCTTTGGCCCTTGACAGCCATAATATTTGGCGTGTTGGCTTCCAAATGGTGATGTGTCTATATTCAAAAGTCCCCCAAGATCTTCACTGTCTCATTTTCAACAACTTTTTCCACTTTATGTTCCCATTGCTTTTTGGAAACAGGTAGGGCATATTTTTTACACAATGACCAGTGGATTAATTTAGCAACTCGATGATGATAATGATGATGATGATGATTTCTTTAATGAGATTCATAGCCTTTGGGGCTGGTTGGTAGCTCAACAGCTCGAGTCCTAACCAAGGACCTAGGAACTGTTCAGGTAGTGTTGGATTATTATTATACACAAAAATGATAGTATACACAGCAAACAAGATAACTATGCTGGGTTTTGTATCACAAATCACTAGTCAAACACTTCCCAAGTGTTTAGGACTGATGATGATGAAGATGATGATTGTTGCTGTTGTTGTCTGTTTTAATATTTACTGGTTTTTAATTTTGTAAGTTGCCCATACTTGCCTCTAGATGAGATGGGTAGCACACAAACCAAATAAATAAATACCTTTTAAATCAGAGCAAATTTACTTTTCCTGACATTTAATTCATCTGCTTATTTTATTCTTGAATTTTGTGTGTGAAGCTTAGATTGAATGTATATATACAGCTAAAAAGTACACAAAGATATGGTAAATATAATTAAAAAATGGTGTTTAACAATCTACAACTTTCCTACATTTTATACAAGAATAGAAAAATACTACTATTGAAATGATACTTTGTTTTATCTGACCAAAACCCAAAAGATGTATTTTTAAAATCTGATTTAGGAACTTATAAATCAATAACTGTGTAATATGTTTTTTACTTTCCTTTGCTTTCAGTATCTGTAAAATTGGGATTGCTTTGGCATGTTAACAATTTTCTGAGGAAATTCTATGTGGTTAAATTTCCAAACTAATCTAAAAGTAGAAATCATTGTTATTTTATGAGGTTCATTGCTTTGCAGCTAAATGAAACCTCACTTCAGGGGAATGAATTCAGTTACAAATACACAAAAGTGGCAATTGTTTATTGGGAAATCAATTTTTGTTACAGAGAATCTACTTTTCAAGCTTCAATAGCAACAAAAATAGAGTTCTCTGATGTATGATAACTGGCTTGTATTTAATTTGTTGGCATTGCTTCATACAGCTATCGTCAGAATCTTTCATAAACCAAAAACTTTTTTTTTGGTTAGTAACAGGGAAATATATATTATGCTATAGTTTGTTGTAATCTGACTGGTACTTATCAGTTTTACACTTTTTGTTAATTTATCAATATTAAGAACTAATCAGCATCCAGCTGCATTTGTTCTACATTAGAAGGAACTAGAAGTTACCTGGATTCTGGTTTCAGGAAGATTAATTTTGGCTGCCAGCTGGTTGCGGATGTTGATATCTGGATAGTGTGTAGCTTGAAAGATTCTCTCCAATTCCTTGAGCTGCTCTGCTGTGAATGTGGTCCTAATTCTACGTTTTATTTTCTTGTCATCTATACAAAAAGGCACCACAGATTTTAAAAGAAAAACAAACCCTTAATACGGAGAGGAAATCTAAAGGATGCAGAAGAACCAGGTGTATGTCAAGTATTTTTGGCAGATTTACTGTATCTGCCTCCCATTCTGTTTCAGAATGCCTGCACAAATCTTGAGAGTTTGGTTTTGTAAGTGAAACTGAGAGTTAAATCCAGGCCTCAACAATGCTGCCATCAGGCCTAATCCATTGCATTATGATGAATGCAAAATGGTTTCTATGCCTGATCAATTGTTCATCAGAAACAAGTTATCATTCCTCTCTATTCTGGGTTGGTCAGACAGAAACCATAATATTTCTTCCAGATCTGGGTGCCATATTTTAGAAAGGACATTGGCAGACTAGAATCTGATCAGAGAAGAGTAACCAAGGGACCTGGATAAGAAAAAAATTAGGAGAAGTGATTTGAGGCATTTTTTATGATTAATCTAAAGAAGACTGGTGAGGCCTAAGAGCTATCATCAAGCACATGAAGGTTAACATGTAGAACATCTGCAGAACTATTTAAAGCTGTTATTTAGAGAAAGAAGGGTTTGAATTACAGGGAAGTAGACCAATTTCCAGTTCTAATTTCAAGATGGTCAGACTCCTTGACTGGTCCGGGCAGCTTACAAATAAAAAGAAAGACAAGTAGAATGGTGGCAAAAGCTATCCAAACCATCAATAGGACCAACTCCTTTAGTACATTCCTCATTGGAAGTGTTGATGGCCATCTGTCAGAAATGTATTTCTGCACTAGGTAGAGAGTTGGGGAAGACAATCTCCAAGATTCTTTCCAAAGTATATATTCTATGCTTCTAGAAAGTCCATAAGATTGAGATCCAGCACAATTATAAATTGTAATCCACAAGTAGCTTTATTTGCCCTAATGTGTTTTGGAAAAGCCTATTCCATAGAAAGATTTTGGGGAAGTAGGCAGTGGGACAAATAGTACAGTTGGGGTTGTTCCTACTGTGACCTCATGGAATCTTTCACACATAGTCCTAGGATGGGGAGAAAAGTATGAATAAGGTTAACCCAAAATTATTGAATTGTCAGACACTTAACATTAAAAAAGCAGTTTTACTTGGTTCCATATATATTTATTTTATGCTGTTTTAATTGTTTATATAATGTACATTGCCCAAGTCACTTATTGAAATGGCAGCTATAGAAATCAAAGACATAAATAAATTCAAGAAATGACATAAACCTCTGGAAGAAACCATGGACATTCTGGAAGATCAGTTCAGGGAAGCAGGCAGACCATGTAGATAGTCTACAACTTGTTACAAAAGAATGTATTTCATTTGTTTTCTAATGATGCCTAATATAAACTTTCCTTTTGATTATTTTGTCACGTACACTTTCATAAATCTTTCATAGATCTATCTTCAGTTATCTGGTTACTAAGATGAAAAGTGGTATCCACAGTTATCATGTGTATATGTCTTTACAAAATAACAGGCTTCAAAACAAACAGACTTGATATGATTTATTGTGATAATACAGAATTGAAGTTAATTGGTGATAACAATCTTTTCAGCATAGGATTCAATATATAATCAGTTGGGTAGAAAGAGGTACATCTGTCTTGATCTATGCTGTCATTATGATCTTAGCAAAGAATAAAGAGTCAGATTGATTGATTGAATGAATAAATACAACACATTACTAGGAAGCTCCATCTCAAATCCTTGAACCTTTAATATATCACAGGACAAGTCATTAGTTACTTCTCCCTTGACAACTTCCAAGACCGTCAGTCATGCTGAGTCTTGCTAGCATCATGACAGCATTTAACAGTCCCCCCAATACTTCTAGCCATTGGAGGGTCCTTAAGACCTGCCTTTTTACTGAGAGCTGGAATAGGATTGTCTAGGTAGATAATATGGAAGGAGGGCAATAGAGGTGACTATGGGGGATTCTAAGGGTACAGAGTTTTGTTTAATTATCCTTTATTTATTATTTACTGATTTTGCTGTTTTATTATTGTTTGATGTATCAGTTTTACTGTTTTTTTAGGGATAGCCAGAATTAGGCAGAATTGAACGGCTATATAAATATTCTTTAAAAGAAAGGAAGGAAGAAAGAAAGAAGGAAAGAAAGGAAGAAGGAAAGAAAGACAGAAAGTGATGCAGTGATTAAGAACTGAGCAAATGTTCCTTGTGTACATATTAAAAGCAATAATCCTGAAGCTGTAATATTATTGAAATAAATTGTTTTAGAAGAAAAGTTTAATCTATATCATCTAACTGATATGCTTCTGTATTGTAGGAAAGAAAGACATTGTTAGGTATTCTTGTATGGGACCAATAGCAGGAATCCAAAAGAGAATTCATTGGGTTTTCATATTTTTTTGGAGGAGATCTATAATGATGCAGATATGTTCACAGAGAACATCCAATTGCCAGTAGTTTTGTGTGGGGTAGGTATTGAAAAAGAGAGGGCTGCCCCCATCTGTCATGTTTACTATTAACCAAGCACCACAAAAACTTCTTTTATGTACCAGCTGCACCAGTGGTGGGATTCAAATTTTTTTATTACTAGTTCTGTGGGCGTGGTTTGGTGGGTGTGGCAGGGGAAGGATACTGTAAAATTTCCAGTGAGAAGTGGCATTTTCTGGTTCTCCAAACTACTCAAAATTTCTGCTACCGGTTCTCCAGAACTGGTCAGAACCTGCCGAATACCACCTCTGAGCTGCACTAATTCTGACTAATCAGTTTCAAGCAGCAATGCAGCCATATCATTTTAGATCAAAAATTTACAGAAATGTATGTCCTCAGTACAATTGCTTTATATGACAGATGGTAAAGGACAACTAGTTCATATTTGACAATATGAACTAGTAGCCGAATTCAATGGATTTCTCTTATATTCATGTGGCTTGTGTGTATGTGTGTGTTCTTGATCAGTGGGCTTGAAAGATCTTTATTAGCACATGTATTGTTACATTTGCATTGAGCAAATTAGCATATACATTGGCACACATGCATTGAGACATTTCTGACCTATTACCTCTTGTCACTATTCCCGTCACTTTTGACAGGAATAGTTATAAGATTTCAGTGCCAAAGCTTTATCCTACTTGCACCACTTTTCAGCAAAATGAAAAGCTTCAGTTTTCAGTTTACTCTGGGTATCATGTTGTTGGAAGAAATATCTTTCTGGGTTCAGTTCCAAGTGGGAAAAAAGACACTGGAAACATGGAAGCCACTTGGAAAGATGGTTTATTGATGAACAGGATGGGTTCCTGGGCAGAAAAGACACACAGAGTGGAGAGAGTGGGGGGGGGATATTTATACCCTCTGTTGATATTTGAATTTGAACTTGTATTCTGATTGGTTGTCAGACTCTCATTGGGTCATGAAGGGGTAACTCTGTAGATTGTCCTGAGTCCCGGGCTTGGTTGAGTCTTGCTGGATGATGATGTAATGAAAGAGCTTTGGGCAGTTCCTATTATGACTCTTTGTTATGTAAAATAGTCTGGCCCAGGCATTAACAAAAGTGTGGTGGGGGGTGAGTTTCTGTCTCTCTGAGTTTCTACTTCTCTTTTAGGGGAAACATTCTATCTTTTTTAGTATATCATAAAATATTTCATTTTTCTAGGAGGGGGTGGGTGGGTTTTAACTTCCAACAATGTGATTTCTTGATGCCACCTTGAGGGAATTTAGCCTTGATCTTTGGAATGGCTGTCTGGCATTCAGTCTTGAGAGGGAACTTTATGGGTGTTCGGATCAGGAAGAAAGAGAGAGAAGAACAGAGGTGTACTATACTCAGCGACCCTGGGTGGTGCTTCATATATGAGATATCTACCTCCTATGTCCCCTGCAACCAATTTTTAAAACAGGTTTTGTTGTTGTTCTTTTAAGATACTGTTGATTCTTGATTACTGCTTGGACAAGTTTCTGTAGTTTTATTGGTAAGATTTTTCAGATGTGGCTTGCCAATGCCTCCTTTCCAAGGCTATCCCTACCCCTACCCCTAATCCTAACCAGGGCTGAGAGAGAGTGACCGGCCCAAGGTCTTCATCCCTAACATGGAATTAGAATTTAGGGTCTTCTGATTTCTAGTCTAATGCCTTAATCACTACACAAAACTGGTTCTGAAAAGTGTTAGCAAGGATGAATCTGGTGTGGAAAATAGAAGGAAAATCTATTCTGCTCCATTCCTGGCTAATAAATTGGAGGACAGATCTGGATGCTAGCCAAGAATTTAATTAACTGCACAGAATATACTAATAGAAAAGCATGTTAGGAATTTAGAAATAATTTGCTTGGCTCACCAAAGCTAGAGAAGAGCAACAAAGATGGTTAGGGGCTTGGACGCTAAAACATATAAAGAACGGTTGCTGGAATTCGGTATGTCTAGTTTAATGAAAAGAAGGACTAGAGGTGACCTGATAGTGGTGTTCCAATATCTCAGGGGCTGCCACAAAGAAGAGGTAGTCAAGTTATTCTCCAAAGCATCTGAAGACAAGATGGAAACTAATCAAGGAGAGAAGCAACCTAAAACTAAGAAAAAATTTTTCTGGAAGTTAGAACAATTAATCAGTGGGACAACTTTCCTCCAGAAGTTGCAAATGCTCCAACACTGGAAGTTTTTAAGAAGAGATTGGACAACCATTTGTCTAAAATGATACAGAGTTTCCTACCTGAGCAGGGGGTTGGACTAGAAGACCCCCAAGGTCCCTTCTGACTCTTCTCTTCTCTTCCCTTCCCTTCCCTTCCAGATTCCAACTTTATAACATAAGGATAGATTATTCCACCATCAAACATATCAAAGAACAGATTTGCCCCAAGAATAGTTAGTTCTCCCTGCTCTGCCATACCAATTTGTCTTCTTATAACCTCTCCTCATATATTTGATTCTACAAAACTTTTTCTCTATACAAGGTCACAGCAGCAACAACAATACAAGGAATTTGAGTACCTGTCCTGCTGAGCAGTTTTTTAAAAAACCTGGATCACTCAGATTATA